CACTTCTACCGAACCTAACATGCACTTTTCTGATATCAAAGAGGGAGCTTAGAGAACAAGAGTTTGATCTGCCTCTTTTGGAGACTGCTGTATTTTAAGTTAGGGTCACTTTTGTGAATGACCAGATATGTGTGTCCATATCTGCACAGTTGAATGACTGAATAGTTGAATGAGAAAGTTTTAATATTGATCTTTTGAAGATTGATGAACACCTACAAAGAATGATAATTTTCCTGTCATTAATATAAGCCTCTATTATCTGTCCATAGCTTGCCTGTGATTTCAAGAGCTATTTATCATTATTCTTAGTCAGTGACAATAGAGGGGGGAGCTTTACTTAAAAGAAGGAGAATGTGTACATTGTTGTTGAAGTGACATTTAAGCAAATGAATATTTTATGGGCTAACCAGCTTTCCTTAGTATCAATTATTAGTTCTAGAATTAATTCTGAAGGCTATAAATTCTTTCTGTTCCCTCATGCATATTCTTGCTATAGGACTGGAAAAGTTCTAGCTGAATTGGTGGATGTGAGCATCCTGACCTAAAGTCATTGTAGACAGGTTATCAATTTTGAAGAAGTATCAAAATTGGCCAATAGAATCATCCAATTAAAATTTACCTTTAAAAACTGTCAGTTGGTCATATTAATTCTCAGCCATTTTATACCTGTAGAGATGACCCAGGAAGACTGTGCACAGAGCAGATACATTCTCAACAGGATCTTAATTGAGTAGCAGCCAGAGAACTATTTCAAGAACTTTTTTATTTATTCTCTGATGGGTGATTAATCAAATATTTCATTGAAGATAGGTGGGGTTATCTTCTGAAATGACTCCCACAATCAGGACTGCTGGAGGTCTTATGAGGACTACATCTGAGTGAAAAGGCTGTGGATTGTCAACAGGGATAGGACTTGGGAGTTTCCTACTTGCAGAGACCATATTCTGGGCCACAGTGACCTTGAATTGCATGGATCACTTTTCCTGATATCTGAGCCCAAATATGACCATTGAGAACTAAAGAGACTGATTTGTTTTATTTAAATGGTTGACTATACAAGTTTTGTGTGCAGATATTAGATTGTTTTGGCTGGTTTCCATGCTTGGAGAGATCTTAATGGCTGCAACTATTTCAGTGCCTAGAAGTTCTTTCCACACTAAAGAATTAGATGCAATTCATACTCTGCTGGGGAAGGCTGCATGTGGCATCCTTATCATTGCCTTGGATGCCATTGAGGAAACTCTGTCCTAAAAACAACAGTGAAGAATTCAGACTTCTGGAGATAATTCTTTTTATTTTTTTATTTATTTTACATGCCAACCACAGTTTCCCCTCCTCCTCTTCTCCTGTTCCCTCCTCCCACCTTATTTCTAATCCCAGCCCAATTCACTCCTCAGATGAGGTAATGCCTACCATAGGGATCAACAAAGGCTGGCATATTAAGTTAAGGTAGGACCAAGATCCTCCCTGCTGTATCAAGGTTGAGCAAGGATCCCACCATAGGGGATAGGTTCCAAAAAGCCCACTCATGGGCCAGGGGCAGATCCTTGACTGACTACTAGTTCTTAAAGCCATAGAGAACACTTTATTTTGTTCTTGGCATGTGGGAATTGCCTGGGAATCCTTTATTCAGGTTCCTACAGGAAATGCCTAAAATGTCTGTTAAAAGGAGGGCCTGATTTGGGATAATACTTGCTGACAAGGGCAGCTTGGAATTCTGTCTTAGTTAAGGTTACTATTGCTGATAAAACACCATGACCAATGCAAAATGGGGAGGAAAAGGTTTATTTGGCTTATGCATGGACATCATAGTTCATTACTAAAGGAAGTCAGGACAGAAACTCAAGAAGGGTAGGAACATGTAGGCAGGAGATATACAGAAGCCATTGAGAAGTACTGCTTACTGGCTCAATCCTCATGACTTATTCAGCCTGCTTTCTTATAGAACTCAGGACCACAAGCCCAGGGATGGCCTCACCCACAATGGACTTGGGCCCTCTTCCATCAATCACTAATTAAGAAAATGCCACACAGGCTTGCCTACAGCTAGAGTTTATGGGGGTTATTTTCACAGTTGAAGCTCCTTTTGCTCCTGTGGGTGTAACTTGTGTCTAGTTGACAGAAAACAAGCCAGAACAAACTAGATCACACAGAGGCCCAAAGTTTTCATCTTGATGTGGTGCAGAGATAATTTGTAATAGTTTATTGACAAAGAGTGTCATTTGACAAAGTCTGTATGGGGGTATAAATTATGTCATAGTCTTCTCTTGATCCATATTTATTCATTTATTTGTATTTCTGCAGCATTGGATACTAAAAACAGGATTTCATGAATGATAGCACTCTAACACTGAACTTCACCTAAAGCCCAATAAATTTTCTCCATGCTGACACAGGTGCACCTGTGAAGCCTTGAGTATTTTTCTTCAGAGACCTGAGATTAAATGATCTCCACCCAAAATGAAATTTGGGAAATATGTGTCCCTGGAATGCTCTGGGATGCCTTACTAAATGCTTGGGAAATTTGCATGATGGTCAGAGATGGTCTTCATGTTCCTTGTTTCACTATTTCTGTATTCATAGGATAGCTCAATAGCACTCTATATGAGGGAAATTCCTTTGATAAAATAAATTTCTTGATGATAAAAACTCTGGTATTTGGGGAAATACTTATAAATTAGCATATATGGGATTCTATATGAAGGTGCCACTAGCCTTTGTAAGGTCATGGTGAGAAAGAATAGTTAAGCATGCAAGCTTCACGAAGACAACTTTTGCATCTTGTTTTAAACTCTAAAAAGAAACAATGCAGTTTTGGCCTGAAAACATAGTTTCTGGCACATGAGAATTTAAAAATAACGCAGAACACCAGAAATCATGCAGCCGAAGAACTCCACCTCAGAAACAGGACTTTTAAAATAAAGGCATCATGAGACTCTTCATACTTTTCCATCTATCACCATCACTTCCTGGAGTGAAAATTCCTGCCATTAGTGCTTTCAGGATGTCAAGAATATAAAAGCCAACCTCCTCCTGGATGCCAATCATTGTCTGTGATCATTAATTAAATGGAAAACAGATTAGTTTTATTTTCTTCAAAGTAGCTACTGCTTATGCTTTACTTTTGAAATGATTTTTTTTTTGCAGAAAAATACACATCCATTTTAAACTTCAGAAACATGCAAACTATAAATGTAGGAAAATAAAAGAAAAAATATAATTCTGTCACAGAAGGCCACAAAGTCAAAATTTTGTTGATTTCATCTTGATATTGTTTGAAGTCATGGTTGGATACTTTGGTATATTCCTCTTATTGCTGCTTCTGTAGTCGTTGCTACTACCAAATTTATTCCTTAGTGTTTACTGAATGTAATTTTGTATTGTCACAGGATTTACATAGAAACAGGTTTCATGTTTTTAAAACTCTTATTCTTAAAAATGGCATCTTACAGATGATACAATGGAAATTCAGAAAAGCAAGGAACATTGTAGAGCTGGCCAGACTATCTGAAGACCTGACAATGTGTAACTTCAATGCTTATTATTTTTATGAAAATTCATTACACCTATATTTACCCTAAAAATTCTTCATAGTGCCTTTTGTCATAACATATCACAGCTTTCTCTATGCCTCTATTACTATGAATAAATGTATTTTAATATTTTTAAATGAGTTTATAATATAATTACATCTCCCCCAACCCTCCAATATTTATTTCTTCCAAATTCATTTTGAATTTCAGAAGAGCCATCTATTTTCAGAGTTTTACATAGAAATAAAGGTGTAAATATTTTTAATTTAATGTACATCTTTTTAACATTTAAACCCAAATTATTGTGACTCACAGTGTGTGAAGATCAGGCCTGGTAGACTTAGCCTACCTGAGAAGTCATACAGAAATGGAGGAGAGGGCTGGTAATTCAATCAGTAGTCCCTACTGTAGGCTATTTCTCTGAGAATGTGAGTTCTCAGAGTCAGTGTGAACAAAGGCCAGCTTGTCTTCACATTTTAAAAATTCAAGTCTTTCAATACAAAAATCCAAATGTGCTGCTTCACATGTACTGCCAAGGACTCAGATTTCATTAAACCCAGTTTCTGACTTACAGTATGGTATCCCCCCACTTGACAATATATTTCTTAGCATTGGTTTCTCATTGGTTTTTATACTCATAGTAAGTGGTGTGGAAAGTCTTATCCTTCAGTGAATAAAATTATCACACTCTTTTAAGTTCTGCCAAACTTCACTGATAACCACTGAATCCCAATTGGAAAATTTGTTTATATCTTTCCTACTGACTACCTGTATTTAATTCTAGTTCTAAATCGTATGGTTTTTTTGAATATCTTGTTCAACATAGTTTTTTATCTGTCTCATTAGTCTAAATGAAGATGCTCAGAGAAATAATGTTTTCCTCAGAAGGAAGACATTCAGATGAAAGGTTGTCACATTTCTGCCAGTTGTTTGAAGGAGCTAATTAGGAATCTGTTCCTTAAAACACTCCAGCTAGACTATGTCTTGAGCACCCATACCAGAGTGGCATTAACAGTAGAAGTATGGTGTACAGAAGAGAGCAAATTATAAACATAAAGCCTAGTAGATGATTCATGACAAAGATTGTGAATTTTCTTTTATAATATATAGAGTGAAAATTATTTCTTTTATGATTTTGTAAACTTAATTTGCATCTATTCTTAGACCAAATTATACATTTTAATTTAATATGCATCCATTCATTTTTCCCACAATCTTTGTACATTAAAACATTGTAAAACAAATTGAAGCTACATGCTTGCTGTTTGTGTGTTGGTCACTTACTAGATGATAGTTTGCTTAAAGGAAAATTTCTTGTTCTCTTCCTGCTGTCATGGTGCCGTTTTGTCAAACCTTTCAAGAAGATCCATTTTTTTGTGTGCCAGAAAACTGCATAGCTCCACTGAGCCTTGAGAATGATGAAAGGCTGGTCATACATGTCAGTAACTCCTCCCTCTCTTGCCTTAGGTCAAAGGATCTCATAAAGGAGGCCATCCTTGACAATGACTTCATGAAGAACTTGGAGCTGTCACAGATCCAGGAGATTGTGGATTGTATGTACCCCGTGGAATATGGCAAAGACAGCTGCATCATCAAGGAAGGAGATGTGGGATCACTGGTGTATGTCATGGAAGGTATGGTTAGTAACCTGCTCCTCTATCACTCATTCCTTTCCAATCTTCCCAGCTTCTCAAGGATTGCAATATGTTCTGTGGAACATGCCTGTCTTGTTCCTTCATTGGGAAACAAATCGAAAGATACCAATAGGTAACATAGTTGTCTGATTAGATGAAGTTTGTTGTTTATAATATTAATATAAGGATTCTATATTAGTTTTCACAGCTATAGAGAGTCAACAGTGTGAAAATGATACTGTTTGCTGACTGAATGAGACTGCACACAATTGCACTGTTGAGCATGCTGATAATGAAAGGAAATGGGAAGTCTTTTAGGTCAGATAATCAGCGCCTTCAACTCTACTCTTAACATTTAATACAAGACTAGGTTTCCTGTCATTGCTTCTTCTGGGTAAATATGTTTTCAGTCACTTGCATATATATCACAGAGACAATGAAGACTGAATAGCATATTAGCCATCTAATTAAAAAGAGGGGAGCAGGTTTTACAAAACCTTCAGAAACTGAGGTAGAAATTGTTTTGATAAATAACTTATCCATTTACTATGTAAATATGTTTTATGTCTAAGTAAATTTTAATAATGATTGTTTCTAACTTGGAATTTACAATGGTGTATTTTCCTTTGTGGGAACAATCTGAGATGTTGTTTGAAATAGCTGACAAGAAAGTGAGTCCAGAAATGCATGTACTAAAAGTTCTATTTGGTGTGGTATGTATGGCCAGTGTTCAGTCCAGAGCATTCATGTTGAGTGATTCATGACTCCTATAGTCTCTTTCAAGTTTTAGGTCATTAAGATAAAATGTGTGCTGAGGCAAATCATATTTTCTCTGAGTTTCAACAACCCAGTTTATAAAATTGGATATTCTCGTGGTAGCATCTAGAGGTGTTTGAAATGGCTAATGGCTTTAGTAGGAAAGCTTGGAAAGTTTCTCATCAAGATAAAAGCCCAATACAGAGTTTTTGACCGAAAAATATTATTATTATTAACATTGATAATGGCTGAACTTTTTGCCTATTTTACAAGATTATAAGGAAGCTAAATAAGATAACTTACATGAATATTGATGTAAAGAATAAAACATAATAAAATAATAATGTTTTATTTGTTTCTATTAGGTGCTTGAAAGTATACTTAAATGTTATGTGTACCTTTATGCTTTACCTTTTAAATTTTTATTTGTAGTCTTCTAGAATATTTGGTTTTTACATAGCAGTATCTGTCATCTTTCCTTTTAACATTTTCACATTTTCCCACATTAAAAGCTTCTGCTCAAGGCCAAAAGGTATAAATATTCAGCTAAGGTTTCTCTTGATAAAACCAAAACACAGTAAGCACATATGTAAGTATTATGCACATGGCAGAGAATTGTAGGTATAGGAATGGGTTTACAAGGTAGGTATATTGTGAGACAATGAGTAGGCAGGATAAGAAAAATGGGAAGGAATGAATAAGAGCCAAGTACAGATTATGAAACTAGAGGCATTCTTCTAGGGATGATTAAGATTAGGCAGCACATTAAATGTGTCAATGGTGTCACATGATTTGATTAGTCAGAGGTTGTGCTAGGAGGCTATCTATGTACAACATAGCCATCATATAAAGCAAGATGCACTTTTAATTTGATTGTCTTCAAATTGTAACCACTAGCATTCCACTGCAGCAACAAAAATTCAAAAATTGGCTTAAGTTTTTCTTCATCTTGAATATTTCTTAAAAATTAGGTTTCCATAAAACCTTACAAACAGAAAAAGACTACATTTCTCATCTTTTCCCTTTCAAAATATAAGGGTTTTACTTTTAGCTATATGATTTATTGAATGTATAGAACAATGTCCACCATACTGAGCATGCACATTTCAAGTTTTCATATATAGAATTCATCTAATATTCAGAACAGTCTAGGATATTGTGTTTATGCTATTGATTGTCTTTAATAAACTCAATAAAAGGACCATAATCCTATTAAGAGATGCCAGCCTTTCTCTAAACAGAAACTGAAATCTGCTCAATATAACTTTTGTTGATTTTGTGCCTTTATCTTTATGTCAAAATGTTTGAAATTAAAAACTTGGCCATTAAATTTTTACAAATTTTAATTGAGGAAATGTTTTATTGCATAATTAGGCTTTTAAAGCCAACACATTCAATCTTCTCAAAGCTTATACAGCAATGTTCTTGATATAGAAGGGTTCTTTTCATCTGTGGACATTAATATTTATAAAGAGTACAGCCTGCTACAGTCAATGAATCGGCTCTGAAGGATCTTTCACAAGTTTACAATCAAGATGTTCATGAAAACTCTCAGGGAGTTGACAAAGAAAAATCAGCCTAATTTTCAGGTTTCTTTCCAGAGAAATGATCCTTGCAAACACTTAAAATTACAATCCAGTAAAAGTATCAGTTTCAAATTTCATCAACAATTGTTTAGGATACTATAGGTTTAAGAAAAAACTGCCTAAGGCTCCTTTGATATCTCAAACATATAAATGGTTTACCACATATTTTATAGTTTATTTTCATAAAGAAATAGACACTGGTATGATTTATGATATACTGTCTGTAATACTCATTGTCTTCTTTTTTATAATAAAGGTAAACCTTGGCTTACCCTCATTTAAAATAAATTTCTGATTTGACAATATATTTGAGTGGAGGGAAATGCTAAGTTTTACTCTGCTTAAGTGTTTGACTTGCCTACAGATGGCTTTTGCACAATGTTGTGGTTTTCCCCGTGGAAGAAGATTGCTCTGTCTTTTAATCACAAGGCTGCTTATAGTGTTGGTGGAATCATGGCATTTTATGAGATATTTGCTAATGACAATAACTTATTTAAGTGCTCCCTTGTCATATACTGCTTACTCACCTGCTAATTATTAAACTTTCTGTCTTCACAATGAATGATTTTATGAGACCATCTATCTATATGCCTTTGTAGATAGAAAAGCTGATGATTGGGGATGTTAGATCACTTAGGATAAAATTATTCTACAAGTATATTAAAATATGATGCTGAGCCCTGAATTTCCCATATCCAAGTACTCAGTAATGCTAACTTTCCAAGAACAGATTCGAAATACAAGAACATGTTTATTGTGAATATCCAACTCATAGACTCATAAAAGATGCACAGTATCAAACTACACTATGAAAAATGATGCCATTACAAGAAGGCAAAATGCCCGCCAAGGCTCAGTAGCCACTGTTCATCACGAAAGCACCTAGGCCTCTCATTTTCAGATCTTCTGCCATTCAAGCTCCCGGTGATCCTTGAACACTCTTCACAGCTAAACTCTCTACAGACTGTCTGGAATTAATGTGTCTCCTCCTCTGTTCATCTCTTCTCACTGAGGGAATCTGTGATTTGTCTTAATTCTTAGTTCACCTCCATGTGCTTCCTATTTAGGATTAAATACTTTGAATAATGGAAACCCCATTTTTTCTGCCTAAAATCAATGGCATAAATTTTATTTTCTCACATTTAAATTTTAAAAAACTTCTCAAGAGCCACTTCTTGGCTTATGACAGAAAGGGCTCTTGGAATGGACTTTTGCACACTATCCTTAGGCAGTATCTAAATATCCATAGCAGTTTTCACAGGGTGAGCTCACTTGGTTTGATGCATTTTTGGTAAATTCACAAATGCAAGTCTGCATATGCTACATATTCTCGCAACTATTTATTATTTTCGTGCTGGCCATCCTCCGTGGTAAGCTTACACACTTCCTACTATAACTGCTAGTCCCCTTGAAAATTTTTATTCTCTGCATGAAATTAAATGACAGAAATATTGACATTCAAAGAGGGATTTATATAAAACTGGACATTAATGATAAGTCTCTCTTTCAGTAAGCATTCAAAATGCTTGCTGAGTGTATGAAGGAATTGAATACATTTTCATATGAAACAGTTCTTAGTAAACATAGCAAGATAAACAAACCATTTTATTTGCTAACATCAGGTATTGCCTTTTGGCCTTAGTTTTCATATTCACCCACAAGCTATCTTTCTCTAAAATAGGTGGAATGTGTTATTTTTATAATTACTTTAGGAAACCACACTTGTAATATTTATGCAAAAGAGCATGCTTATGAACTCCTTATACCAAAGCAAAACAAAACATGTATTTATGAAAGCTTATAAACAGGGAGATTCTTAAATGCCAAATATACATTTTTGTACATAATACTTTAGATGTGGTAGCAGAGTTGGAGACAGGGAGCTGAGGTATTTATATGGCACATGGAATAAGTATCATGTTCTGGGGCATACCAAATACAAAAGAGCTTTAAATATGCTGGAGCACATTCAGGGATTATAACATACACTTGCAAAAACGGGAAACATTTTGCCTGTATGTGGAAAGTTTGGGAAGAAAAAAATATAGCTTCTTAAATACATACACTGCTCTCATATGGAAATGGAATTATTTTGCATGACTCTAGATAACAGAAGGAAATGTACAAGCTACAAAGAAGTTTAAATTGAGTCAGCTGGAGAATCAATAATCTACTAATTAAAATGTTCCAAAAGTGAAATGAGGAGCTTTCTGTGATGGTGAGCACCCATCTCTGGAGGCATTTTAGCAGTGATTATGTAGCACCTGCTAGGAGAAGCAGCGTGGGTGGAAGAGGGACTCCTATGTCTAAACCACATCGCATCTATTCTATCGTGTCCCCAACGTGATGATTCTAAGCCCATAGCTTTGTGAATTAGCATTCTCCAAGTTAGCTTGTAAGATCCCATAGGTCATAACAGTTCCTCTTGACTACTTCAAACATTCAAAGCTCATGGGTAGTGTTGACTTTTCATGACTCTAATAATTATAAGCTGATTTTTGGACACTTCATGGTTTTGTGCAGTATTTTGTTTCACCTATTTATTTTTAGTTTCTCATGATGATTGTGTTGTTTCTAATATTTCGGCCTCCCAGAAAGCATTTTTTATTTGTTAAATGATGCCAAATAACTTTCCAAAATGGTTTTATTAAGATGACA